GGGGGGTCCAGTGGGAAGGGAGCCAGCTCGGGGGGGAGCCCAGAGAGTGAGAGTGTCTCCGCGAGGGCTCTCAGTTGATGTGTGGGAACGCCCGCGATTCACTCAAGGCGGTTAACGCCTTAGGGGGGTCCAGTGGGAAGGGAGCCAGCTCTGGGGGGAGCCCAGAGAGTGAGAGTGTCTCCGCGAGGGCTCTCAGTTGATGTGTGGGAACGCCCGCGATTCACTCAAGGCGGGATTAACGCCTTCATTCGCTAATGCTGCGCTGCCTGGTGCCTCGACGGGGCAACGCATTAGGAGCCCAGGGTCAGCTGGAGCGCCCCGCTGTTGCACTGCCCCTTTGAAACGCTGCGGCAGCCTTTCCAAGGGGCAGCGCTGCACGGAGCCGGGGTCGCCCGCGGCGCTGCCCCTTGGAGCGTTTCAAAGGGGCAGCGCACGCAATTAATCGCGATTACGTTTTGTATTCGCTGGACAGCCCTCGTCTCAACACAAACCTCAGTCTAAGCCAGGGGTGGGGGACCCAAGGCCTGGGGGCCACTTAACTGGGTCTGGCCCCTGAGGCTTGGGGTTCCCCTTTCCCCACACATTGGGGAGCCCGCCCTGGTGCACCAGCCCCCCGCTATCCCTTCATGGGGCACACAAAATCTACCAGCCTGGGGGCTCTGCAAAGGGGATGTGAGGAGCGTCTCTCCTCAGTCAGGGGCCGTCAGTGAGGGTTTGGGTTTTGTTGGTGCCCCTGCCCCAGAGGGGCTGTGAGCTTCCCTCTCGCCCTGCCACAGTGCGGGGGCGGGGCAGGAGACGAGCACTGGTTCTGGGGGGGAGGCCATGAGACTGCACTGACACTGGGGTAATTCACATCCCAGCCCCACAGCGACCCCAGCTGCTCCCCCCTCCTCCCACTCGGCTTTGCCATTGCCCCTTGCGCTCGCCCCATAGCAGCCTGCCTGGCCCCCGCACAGAGCACGGGCAGCCTCCGCTGCTGGATTCTGTGTCCCCTTGGGGCTGCAGGCCTCCTGCTGACAGGCCACGCCAGGTAGGGGGTGAGCGGGGCG